CCCACCCACTCTGTGACCCCGAGCAAGGAAACGCCCTCCCCTCTGTGGCCCCAGTTTCTCAGGAAGGGGGTGGCCACATGGTGCTATGACATACACACATGGGGCGTGTTTTTATTTGTGTCCTTTGTGAGCAGGGCACCGTCGCTTGGAATCCGGGGAATCTGTAAAACCCGCGTCACCTTCGATGGACATGGGTCTGACACTGTAGAGCAGTGGTTCTCAACCTTGGCTGCACATTAGGATCACCTGGGAATCTTTTTAAAATCCTGATTTCTGGGCCTCATCCTCCGAGTATAGATAACCATTATCACTAGACTTATAGGTATAACAGATAGGTTGTTACTGTCTTTTGTGATCCCACCCCCCCCCCCCCCAAAAAAAAGTCTTAGGCATGCCACTTTCACCTGTGCTAAACTTATTTTTTAGAATCAATTCCCAAGAGAAGGATATTCAGGCTGGAGGCCACGATTGTTTTTATAGTTCGTGGGGTAGCTGGACAGACGAGGCCCAGAAATCAGGGTTTTAAAAAGATTCCCAGGTGATTCTAATGTGCAGCCAAGGTTGAGAACCACTGCTGGAGAGCCTGGATTCCTAACCCTGACCATGCCCTTTGCCTCTCCCTCTAGAAGCCTCAGTCATGCATTTTTGTTAAATGCACATTATATGTGGCCCTGGGTTGGTGATGGGCTGGGCTGGGCATGTCCCGGGGTTCTACGGAGATACCTAAAACCAGACCCCTGCTGCCTGCACTTGGCAATCTCTGACAGGTAATGCAAGCACACAGGCAGGAAGTGGCCAGGCACCTCAGAGAGGGCAAGCCCAGTGCTCTCTGTTCACAGGAGGGGACGTTTCTGGAAGATTCCTGGAGAAGTGAGCCTGGAGGGATGGAGGGGGTTGATGACGGACTTGGGGAGGAAGGGTGTCTTGGTGAAGTGAATAGTATGGGCAAAGTCAGGAGGTGGGAACATGGAGATACAACTGGAGAATGGAGGGGCCCTTTACCCAAAGGAGGGTGAGATATTTCTGGGCTTTTCTCACATCCTGGCCAAATGCTGTCACTTCCATCATCTATTTAATATGTTAGATATTATTCTACATTAAATATTTATATCAGTTTGCCATCCTGTAACCATGCAGGGATTATACTCAGTCTGCATTGAGTTTGGGGGTGTGCTAGGCTACCCTCTTTGCCCCCCTAAAAAGATTAGTTTTCCTCCTGATGACTCCCCAGCTGTCCTTTCTGTGCCCTTCCCGTCCTGTGTCCCTCTGTCCCCATTCCTGTCTGGCCTGGTCTCCCCCCTCTGTGTCCACCACCCTAACACTCCACGCCTGTCCCTTTGCTTCCTTCTTCCTCTGGGGATTTGGGGCCAGGATTCTCTGTCCAAATCCCCTGCCCCTGGAGCAGGCCTCCCAGGTGCCAGCATTTCCCGAGGGACCTTCTGCTCCCTGTCAAATACTAGGAGACACCCTCACGGTGACACTTTCTGGCAGGTGAGCCAGAGGCATGGTCTGGGTAGCAGCAACCTGTCCATCCATGCCCCTGGCCCCCGGGGGCCCGGAGAAGAGCCCCAGTCTTCTCTCCAGCGGGCTGGGCTCCTCACCCGTCCGCATTCAGGGCCTGGCTGCCTGTTCCTGGTTGAGCAGACTTTCTGCAAAGTTCACCTCCCACTGGCCTCCAGCGTTCCCCGCCCCTCACATGCCCAGGGCTTTCCGCCAACTCTCCTATCTCTCAAGTCTCCTGAAAATGGCCCCCTTCTCTGTGGGGAGACCAGCCCCAGAGCAGCCAGCCCTCAGGGACCTAAGATAAGAGTCCGAGGCACCTGTCTGTCCCAGGGAGTAGCCTGGAGCCCGAGGCCTTCACCTCTGACAGGGGGACTGGCTGAGGGCTAGGAAGGCCCGGAAGCAGAAGAGCACGTTCTAGCTGCCTTCAGCCCTGGATTCTCAGCTCTGTCTTCGGGAACTTTGGATTTAGTTCTCCCTCCACCCATGCCAAGATGGGAGCTCTTGGGAACCCATTCTTGCGGCAGGAGGCCTCCCTTTGATGACCGTGTCAGATGAGATGGACACTGGCCAGGTTGTTATAGGAACTCGGAAGAATCCCTGGAGTGGGAAAATAATGAGAACACGGGGCCATTCACCATTCAGCGGCGGAAAGTGGAGCACTCATTGTCTGAGGGCAGAAGCTGCGGCCCAGAGAGGAAGCGGGCTTGGGGTGGGGGGCTTGCTGCAGCACTAGGAGGCTTTGAGGGTGGTGGGGGGACAGAGAAAGGGTCTGACCAGACTGCTCACTTTCTATCTGTATGACTTTAAGCAAGTTAAAACAACAACCAACATGAGAAACAAATGTATGAGACTGGAAGGACTATCACCCTACTTTTGCGACAGTTATCTCAGTGGTATGTTTACAGGTGATTTAAAATTATTTTTGTGCTTTTTCTCTGTGTGTGTGTTTTTTTCCTCCTGGCATTTTCTCTAAACAGCAGGAATTAATTGAAAAAGGAACCCTGAAAACACAACGCTATCTCCAGTTTGGAAGCACAGATTCTGGGCGGGCTCTCTGGAGTTTTGGAATTGATATGCATGTATTTGAAAGGGCAGGGACAGTACTTTCCAGCAGTCAGGCTGCCCCCCTGAAAGTTTTCCTGCCCCTGATGCCCTGGGTTAGACCAGCACGGGCCTTGGGTACCTCACACACAGGCCTGATGGGTCTGGGTGTCCCGAGGGGCAGTTACAGTACAGGAGGTGGCTGTTTGTTTTCCATCCTGTGAGGCCACCCTTGTCAGCTGGCTCAGCAAACGCGCTGTCTACTCCACCTGGTGCCCTTCCTGGTGCTGCCTTCTCCTTTAGACCAACGAATAGGCTTATGTTGCCGTCTCGGCACTCCTGTTTCCGGCCAGCCTTGTCCCTCCTCTGTCAGAAGGGGAATGGTGCACTGCCAGTGTGGCTCAGTGGTTGAGCATTGACCTATGAACCAGGAGGTCACGGTTCCATTCCTAGTCAGGGCACATGCCTGGGTTGTGGGCTCCATCCCCAGTAGGGGGTGTGCAGGAGGCAGCAGATCAATGATTCTCTCTCATCATTGATGCCTCTCTCTCCCCCTCTCTCTTCCTCTCTGAAACCAATAAGATGTATTTTTTTTAAAAAGGAGGGGAATGGTGGCTTCACTTGATTTTTTTGCCCAAGCTGGGCATCCCTGGTGGCTGGGTCCCTCACCTGACTTTGACATAGGCTACCTTCTATCACTGTTGTCTAGTACTAATTTTTTGAGGTGCAACATACATACAGTAAAATGCACATATCCTAAGTTTATTGCTTAATGGATTTCGACATATATTTAAACCCATGTAACCACCACTTAGATCAGACATTTCCATTTCCATTACCCTGGAGGGTTCCCTCATGTCCTTTCCAAGTCAGTACCCCCTAAAGGTAACACTGTAATGACCTCTACCACCATAGGTGAGTTTTGACTGTTTTTTTTTAACTTTATATACTATACTCTTTTGCATCACACTTATTTTGCTTATCATGCATATTAGCTGTCTATTGCTATGTAAGACATCACCCCAAAATATAATGGCTTAAAACAACAACAGTCAATTATTTTGCTCACTGATCCTCAGTTTGGGCAGGGCTCAGAGGGGATGGTTTGTCTCTGCTCCATGCAGCATCAGCTGGGGCAGCTTGACAGGGGGACGGACGGTCCTTTCCAAGGTGGCTCACTTGCATGGCGAGCAAGCTGGTGCTGACCATCAGCTGCTGGTTCAGCTGGAGCTGTGGGCCAGGCCCTCAGTTGCTCTGCATGTGGTTGTCTATATGGGGTGCTTGAGCTTCCTTACAATATGGCAGCTGAGTTCCAAGAGAGCAACCATCCCAAGAAAACAAGGTGGAGGTGCAAGACATTTTTATGACCTAACCTCAAACTCTATTTGTTGAGTCAGCCATGAAAATCTTCCCTGGATCAAGGTTCGGGGGCATAGAGGATGTGAGAAGGTTCTAGAAGACCATGGGGAATGGGAGATATGGGGGTGGCCATTTTTGGAAAACACATTCGGCTACATTATGTTTGTCAGATTCATCCACATTGTAACATATATTTGTAATTTGCTTTTTAAAATTGTGGTATAATATTTCATTGTGTACATAGACTACAATTTAGTTTATTCAGTCTATTATTGACATTTGAATTGTTTTTAGTTTGGGGCTATTTAAATAGTGCTGCTATGATTATACTCATACAGATGTTTTGGTGGACAGAGGTGGCCATCTATCACAGTTGCTGTCTCTTTAGCTTTTAAGATTTTAAAAATCATACAATTCTTATCCTCTTTTATTTTCTCTCCTTCCCCATCAGTTACTGTAGCCATATGCACTTTAGTATGTAAATCTCTGCTAGTGTTTTTAAAATCTTGAAAAGAAATTATAGCAGTAATACATAAATATGTTTTCTTTATAAAAACTTTCAGTATCGCAATTAAGAGTAAAGTTCCTTATGACACTCCTTGCCAAGTCGGGCCCTTTCCTCCTACCCCAAGATAACCCTTGTCACCAGTTTGGGGTGGTCTCATCTAGAGCTTTTTTTGATGCATTTACACACATAAATATTCCCATAGAAAATACTGTTTTCTCTGTGTGTGTGTGTGTGTGTGTGTGTGTGTGTGTGTGTGTGTGTTTTGTTTGGTACAATGCATGGTATCATATGGCTCTGCAATTCGCTTTCTCACTAAAAAAATATCTTGGAGTTATGGCCATAGAATCGCATATAGATCTACTTGGCTTTTTAAACTGCCGAATAATGTTTCATAGTATTATGATAGCACTGCCATTTGGCCATTTCCCTATGAAAGGACGTTTCAGCGTGTGCCCGATGAACTGGAGGGCAGGCCTGGTACACTGTGGTATTGTCAGTACTTGATCAACACAGATGCATTCCGGAGTGGGGAAGAGTTGCTGGAGCCCTGGGTCTGTGCCCCTCAATGCCCCCTCTCTCTTCCCTGCAGAGACGTCTCCGAGAGGCCGTGCAGCTGCTGGAGGACTATAAGCATGGGACCCTGCGCCCCGGGGTCACCAATGAACAGGTAACTGCGGGAGGTGGGGAAGGAGGGAAGTCACAAATTCCCAACCTTTTCCCTGCAGCCAGACCACTCCTTTTTCCTTCACTATCTACTTCCACTGCGACTACATACCCCTGGGGGTCTCTGGCTTTTTGGAGGAGATACTCAGGTCTCGCCAGCACCCTGAGTCTGGTGGGAAGCATGGTGGCTGGTGAGGCTACAGAGGCCCAAAGGCAGTGGTTTGCTGGAGCTGACGTGTGTACCTCTTCCCAATTCCAGTCAGTGACATCATGGTGATAGCTTGAAATCAGCCACGATGGGAATACTTACACCACAGAAATTGGCAAATGCTACAAATTAGGACTTTTCCCCCCAAAGAATTGATTAGTAATTACTTACCAGCATACTACTCCCCAAAAGTTCAAGTTGAGGGTGGGAAAGGGGTGCAGATGGTAGGGATTAGGCTAAGACACTGTAATTTTTTAAAAATTTATCTTTATTGTTGAAAGTATTACAGATGTCCCTCCTTTTCTACCACTGATCCCCTAATTTTTTTAATAGTATGTAGGAACTTGAACTAGAGCTAATGGAAATATTGATGGTTGTGTTTGGTTTGGGGGAGGAGTAGAGGGATGTAGTATAAGGCAAATTTAATGATACAGAGACTGATGGTTAATGTACCAAAGTGGGTTTTTTAATTCATAAACTTTATTTCAAAAACTTAAAAAATTAATTTCACATTTTTAAAAGTAATGTGTGTGTGTAGTTCACAAAAGTCAAATAGTACTAAGACATTTGTAAGGAAAAACAGTATGCTTCCCATCATCCCTCTTCAGTTCCCATCCCTGTTCCCCAGAAGCAAATACATTTAGCTGTCTCTTCAGATAGAAATCTATATTTCAAACTAACATGTTTATCTATACTGCTATTTCTCAACTAATTCTTTTGTGTTATCTATTATGGTAGCTGAGAATCCAGCTCTTATATCCACCCCCATAAACATGCTTCTCTCCCCAACTCTCCTCACCGTTCCAAGATAGTTATGGTTTGGGGGTCTATGGATATGCAGTATTCACATCATAATTTTATAAATAACATTTACTGTAGAGTCAAGTTGGTTGTATCATTACTATGTTTTCCATTTTTTAAACTTTATGTTTTATTTGCAGTTAATGGTTGCCTCTTTTTTCCTTATTAGCATAGTTTTCTTTGTCTCATCTCTCATTCTCACTACACCCTTTAGGGGTATGTTCAGTGCCTCCTTTCAATCCTGAAGACTCCACCTCTTCAGTTCTATTTTTCCCTTGAACATGTCCTTCCTGGGCCCACCTCCCTCCAGCTCCGGGCCTTCTTTTGGTGTTTGTACACTTCCATTTTGGTGGAATAACTCTTCCAGTAGCTTTCTGAAAATAAATAAATAAATAAATAAATGGGAAGAAAATTTTGAGTACTTTTATTTCTGAAAAATTGTGACTCTGCACTCAGCCTTAATTGACAGTTTGGCTGAGGAGAAAATTCTAGTATGACAATCATTCTCCTTCAGAATTTTGAAGACATTAGTTGTCTTCCAGCTTCCAGGATAGCGGTTGAAAACTCCATGCTGTTTTATTCCCGATTCTTTGCAAGTGACCTCTTTTCACTCCTTGGAATGTTTAGGGTCTTCTCTTTATCTATACAATTTATTTCTGAAATTCCACAGTGCCTCTTTTTTTTTTTTAAATTAAATCTTTATTGTTCAGATTATTACAGATGTTCCTCTTTTTCCCCCCATAGCTCCCCTCTACCCAGTTCCCACCCCACCCTCCGCCCTCACCCCCCCACCACTGTCCTCATCCATAGGTGCACGATTTTTGTCCAGTCTCTTCCCACATCCCCCACACCCCTTTCCCCCACAAGAATAGTCAGTCCACTCCCTTTCTATGCCCCTGATTCTATTATAATCACCAGTTTATTCTGTTCATCAGATTATTTATTCACTTGATTTTTAGATTCACTTGTTGATAGATGTGTATTTGTTGTTCATAATTTGTATCTTTACCTTCTTCTTCTTCCTCTTCTTAAAGGATACCTTTCAGCATTTCACATAATACTGGTTTGGTGGTGATGAACTCCTTTAGCTTTTCCTTATCTATGAAGCTCTTTATCTGACCTTCAATTCTGAATGATAGCTTTGCTGGATAAAGTAATCTTGGTTGTAGGTTCTTGCTATTCATCACTTTGAATATTTCTTGCCACTCCCTTCTGGCCTGCAAAGTTTCTGTTGAGAAATCAGCTGACAGTCGTATGGGTACTCCCTTGTAGGTAACTAACTGTCTTTCTCTTGCTGCTTTTAAGATTCTCTCTTTGTCTTTTGCTCTTGGCATTTTAATTATGATGTGTCTTAGTGTGGTCCTCTTTGGATTCCTTTTGTTTGGGGTTCTCTGCACTTCCTGGACTTGTAAGTCTATTTCTTTCATCAGGTAGGGGAAGTTTTCTGTCATTATTTCTTCAAATAGGTTTTCAATATCTTGCTCTCTCTCTTCTTCTGGCACCCCTATAATTCTGATGTTGGTACGCTTGAAGCTGTCCCAGAGGCTCCTTACACTATCTTTGTATTTTTGGATTCTTTTTTCATTTTGCTTTTCCGGTTGGGTATTTTTTGCTTCTTCGTATTTCAAATCTTTGACTTGATTCTTGCGATCCTCTAGTCTGCTGTTGGAACTCTGCATAATATCCTTTATTTCAGTCAGTATGCTTAATTTCTAGTTGGTCCTTTTTCATAACCATGAGGATCTCACTAGATTTCTTGACAGTCTCACTACATTTATCGGCAGTCTCACCAGACTTTTTGAGTGTCTTACTAAATTTATCGGCGGTTTCTAGAAAGTTCTTGAAAAACCTTAAAAGTGTGGTTTTGAACTCTATATCCAGTAGTTTGCTTTCCTCCATTTCTGTCATTTGTGTCCTGTTTCTTTGTCTCCGCATTTTTTATGCTTCCCTGTGTTGATAGAGTGGCTTTCTATGCTAGGTGTCCTATAGGGCCCAGTGGCTCAGCCTCCCCAGTTACCTGAAGTGGACACTCTTGGTGCACCCCCTTGTGGGCTTTGTGCACAGTCTTGTTGTAGTTAAGCCTTAATTGTTGTAGGTATCACTGGGAGGAATTGACCTTCAGGCCAATTGGCTGTGAGAATCAGCTGTGTCTGCAGTGGGAAAACTTCTGTGCTGGAGACACCCCTCTGGGGCAAGACTTGCTTCAGTGGGGCTTTGGTGCTCACTGAGTTTGCCCCATGAGTGTGTTCCTTATGGATCTGAGGAGCTGCAATCTGGATGGTCCCACTCTGACCACCGGGCACACTGGCTCCTGGATCTCTAAGGAGGTGCTAATCTAGCCTCTGCCTGTGGCTACCCAGCAGGAGCCAGCTGTGAAGCAATGGGAGTTGCTGTGGGGCCTTAGGCCAGCTGCAGTTTGTTAGGTAATTTTCAGATTGCAAAGGGCCAGGCATTTCATATGCAAAAGCCTCCGTGCACAGCTTGGGCGGGGCGGGGTCCCAGGGGATCAACAGGGCGGAGCAAGCAACTATGGCTGCCCTCAGAGGCCCCGCTTCTCAGTGTCCCGGCAATCGCTGCAAGCACCTCCGAGAGAAAGCTGCCCTTGAGTTCTGACCGATGCCAGACAGTCCAGTTTCTCCTGTATGAGTCTGGGTCCCCAGAGACTCGCCCGGAACTGGAGCTTAGAGCTTGAGACTCCCTCCCGATTGAAAAAGACAATCGTGTCCTCAGCCGCCAGCCCTCTCCACGTGCGCCTCTGTACCTCTGTACTTTACTTCCGCACCTCCTCTGAGTCTCAGTGTGCTTTTCTCTTTCCTTCTAGTTGTGGAATTTCCACTCAGCCAGCCTTCCTGTGGTTCTGGATGATGTCCGTTCCATCTTTTAGTTGTATTTTTGAAGTGGTTGTGCGAGGCAGCAATCTCCAGTGTTTACCTATGCCGCCATCTTGGTTTCTCCACAGTGCCTCTTTTTTAAAATTCATGATTCAGGATTCCTGGTGACTCCTTTCAGTCTGAATACTCCTCTTTTTCAGTTCTGGCAAGTTTTCTCAGCCTGTTTATTTAATAATTTCTTCTCATTCTGAAGCTCCTATCAGCAAATATTCACATCTTAGATCAACACTAAGGATTTCATTTTCCGTGAGCTCTTTGACTGGTTTTATTTGTTTGTTTGTTTGTTTATTTATTTATAGATATATTTTTATTGATCTCAGAGAGGAAGGGAGAGGGAGAGAGAGATAGAAACATCAATGATGATAGAATCATCAATCTGCTGCCTCCCGCACGTCCCCCACTGGGGATCGAGCCCGCAACCCAGGCATGTGCCCTGAACGGGAATCGAACTGTGACCTCCGAGTTCATAGGTCGACGCTGAGCTACGCTGGCTGGGCTGTTTATTTATTTTTTAATAGAATCCTCTTCCTGTTTTGTGAATACAGTATTATCTGATGTCTCCGCATTCTGGGAGCCAAGGAGGGGAAGGAGGCTGGGGTCCCAAAACTCACTGCAGATTTTCACTAATTTCCCTGCATTAAGCCTCACCTACTCCCACCTTCCACTGTGCTAGTGTTCCCAACTTTGGAGTCACTATACTTCAGTTTCTCCAGAAGGCTGGTAAGCCTTCAGCATCTGCTAGGGATGCAGGTGGGGGCGGTAAGAGTCACCTTGCTGTGCGGTGAAGGTCTGGGGTATTACAGCTTTGAGGACAGACTTTCGATTTATCCCTGTGTCCAGCCCTGTGATTAGCCCTTTTTTCCTGTGGTCCCTGGTCCCTTTGAGTTCTTAGCTTTGCTGGTATCCTTGGGGTGATGGCTGGCTCCTTAGGCATGCCCTCTTCAGGCATTAAGGGGATGTCTTCCTCCTCTCTGCTGGGTCAGTTACTGAAACTCTACTCATCTTCCATCCAAACACACGTTGCTGTCCCTCCCCTGCTGCTGTCTTCTCTTCCATTATTTTGGTAATGATGTGCGCACTGCCCCTCCTTCCTCTAACACCTTC